TTTGACGTACTTGGGCCAGCGGGCGGCCCCCCCGCGCAGGTCGCGAAGCCGAGCACCGACGCAAACGGCTCTGCGCAGTCGTGGATGTTACGCCGATCAGCTTGAGCAAGCAGCTCGGCTCGGATCCAGAACAGAAATTGAAATACGTAGTAGGTACTCTTGAAGGACGCGGCGGTGCGCCACTCAATCCCCGGCGCGTGGCACTCTCGATCCAAAGGGTCAAAAGGGCCAAAGTTGCGACGTAGTCGTTGTGCCCACAGAGAGCGACGCACATCCAAAGGCACGATTTTGGCCAGGACGGTCTGGTAGAACACGCAGAGGGCAGCGTAGACGGCCGCGCGCGTCGGGCGCGTTCGGCGCGCGCCCGGAAGAAGCAGGCGGGCGAGATCACGCGGTCTTTGCCGCGCTCGGCCGGGCGACGCATTTCCCGCCCAGGCCGCAGCGCCCGCCATCTGGGCCATTGCGTCGGCGACGCCAGCGCCGCGCTGCGTAGATGTCAGGATTTGCACGATGTCGACTCGCCGTCGGAACTCTCGCAGGTCCAGCAGCGACGGGTGCCACCGGCCAGCCCATGATAAGATCAATCCCAAGATTGCTGAAGGTACGTCGCAGTGGGACGGCTCGCAGCTCGGGGCTGCCGCGCCCCGGAGCGCGCGCCCGTGTACCCCGCGGGAACACTGCGGCAAGGTCATGTCTGGGCCAATCGCACGGCCATTCTCGCGCGCGGCCGGCACAGCGGCGGCGGGGTCTTTGCCGCGGGCGCGCCAGGATGAGCCTGTCGTCGAGGTTGGAGGAGAGCGTCGCTGTAGGTACCGCCTGCTCTATTGCCGCATGATCGAGGTCAAGTTCACAGAAAGCACGCCGCGGGGAAGAACTGAGGGGCGCCGAAGACGAGGTCAGCGCCCTGGATCACGGCGCCCGTCGGTTGATGATCCACGAACAAGATTCGGAAGGGTGTTTTTGCAATTTCGCAGAACGCGCCCTCAGATGTTCAGTCCTGGGAAGCTGGTTAGCTCCAGCAGGTCGTGCAAGCCCAGTCAGTCGTAACACTTTTCAAGGCCCAGTGGCACTGCGCACGCCCGGTCGGTCTGCGCTGCGCGCCCACGCCAGTTTCATCATTTGATCTTCCAACAAGACGTCTGGACACGAATGTCGAGGCATCGTTCTTGCTGGGCCTGCCAGTTTCCAGTCCAGCAGCCACTGCATAAGATGGGCCGTGTGACGCCGCGCCCATGATCTGCGCGCAACGGGTGATCTTGCGAGCGGCGTTGGATCGCCTGGAGGCGATTCCGGCCGCGATCAAGAACGGGGCGAGTCGGTCTAGGGCGTTTTTGTGAGGTTGCTTCAGCCCTGGCCCTCGAGACCGCTTGCCCCGCCGAACAAGAGCTCCAGGGCGCGTTCGGCGCGTCAGGGCCCGGGCGGGCGATGCGCGAGCACAGATGGAAACAAGGATAAGACCCAGACCGCTGGCGCACGAGGCGCGCGGGAGGGGCCCGGCGTTCTCGAAAAAGACAAGAGTCCAGGCGGAAAGGGCAAATCCATTCAAAGTCCTGGTAGGTGTTCGATCTGGAAAACGCCAGCGCTCCTCCGCGTGGCGAGCCACCCACTGAGTTCTCGGCCTGCTCTTGCGGAGGCATGACCTCGGCGCCAGAGGCGGGCGGGACGGCCTCGCGGCGGGCGTCGAGCCAGCGATTGACCTACGCGGCCGTTCCGCCTCGCGTGCCCACGCGCCGTCGCCGACATTTGAGTCGCGCGCTGCTCGCGCCGTCGATGAGAGACGCGATCGCGCCCAAGGCGTCGTCGGCCTCGTCGGCCCGCCCGTCGCGAAGCCCGCGCCGGAAGGTCTTCCATGAACCAGTCAACGCTCGAGCTCTCATCGGAGTTCCCCGGGGCCGCCGTCGAGGCCCCGCGGCGGAGCGGGCGCCCCAGTTGACAGTTCGAATGAGACAGGGCAGACAGGGGGCAAGTGACAATGCCAAAGATAACGCGGCGACAGCAGCCGGACAACTGTGCAGCAAGCATTGCGCCAGGGGCTGCATTGCGCTGCGCTGCGCTGCGCCGCGCCGCGCAGCGACGCGCCAGGGGGGCGCGCCGAGGGACGTGCCATGAGACGCGCCGCGGGGCGTGCCAGGGGAGCGCGCCGCGGAACGCCCCGTGGGGCGCGCCAGCGGACGCGCCATGGGGGCGCGCCATGGGGACGAGCCGCGGGACGTGCCAAGAGGAGGCGCCACCAAACGCGCCAGTGGACGCGCCGTGGGGGCGCGCCGCGCGACGCGCCAGGAAGGCGCGCCACGGGGCGCTTCAGGGAACGCGCGCGCCAGCGAACGCGCCAGGGGGCGCTTCAGGGAGCGCGCCGGGAGACGCGGCACGGGACGCGCCTGTGGCGCGCCAGCGGTCGCGCCGCAGATCACCCGGAGCCTCCTGGGATCTCCGCGCCCCGCTAGTCGAGACGTCGTAGACTGCACTGCCTCCGCGCCCCCTGGGCTACGATCCTTCGCAAATCCCGTGGGGCCCGATTCCCAGTGCCACGATCGCTAGTAAGCGATGCTGCGCCCGCTCCCCCAAGGCCGCGACCCTTCGTGGATGACAGTGGATTCGCGCCCCTTAACCATCGCGAAGCCTTCCGGGGTTTCCAGGGCCCTCCTGGCCCCGACGCCATGGTTGATGCCCCCTTGGGCGGGCTGGACATGCGAAAGCACGCGGCCCCAGTTCGGGGCAACCGGGTGAGATTCCCTTTCGGGCGGCCTGGACACGTGAACCCATGCGTTTCCATCCCCGGGCCGGCATGTTCGATGCCCCGCTGCGGCTTGGATTCGCGACTACACGTGGCCCTTGCTTGGGGCAGCGACGCAAGATACCCCCTAGGGCGGCCAGAACACGTGGAAACACGTGGTTCTAGCTCGGGACAGCCATGTTAGGTAACCCATGGATGACCTGGACACGCAAAAGCACGCAGCAAATACGCGGGCGCCAGACGCGCGTTGCACATCCCTATCCACGCGCGTATTCTACGCGCGAGGAAGCCGACGACTCCGCGTTGGATGCTTCCTTGGGCGCACTTCCCTCGATCGGGCACGCGCGGGGTGCAATTCTTCGACCAGGAATCTGCTTCCTGGGGCCTCCTGCAGGGCCTTTTGTGGTTTCCTGGGGTTTCCTGGGGCTTCCTCGGCCCTCCGGGGCTCTCCTGGAGCCTCCTGGGTTCTTCTGGCGCCTCCTCGCGCCTCCTGGCCCTCCCGGAGCTTCCCGGGGCCTCCTCGCTTCTCACGAAGCCCCCTGGAGCTTAAACATTTTTTGGTCGGCGGGGCGAGAGCGAACCTCTTCCGCTAAAAGCTAGGCGGGCTACGCACAGCTTTAATCAGGGAGACAGGGCATAGGCAGGCGGGGCTTCAATAACCCCTGGAGCTCAAACACACGCAGCCTCATCTGAGGACAACCCTGGGCGGCGTGGACACGTAAAAACATGCGTTTCCAGCTCGGGACAGCCATGCACACGCGGCAAAGGCACGAGAGCCAGACGCACGTTGACACCGCCCCCGCGCACGCATTTTCGCACGCGAAGAGGCCGGGCCGACAACCTCATGATGGACACCCCCTTGGACGCGCATTCTTCGAGCGGGCGCGCGCGAGGCGCATTTGTTCTACCAAAAAATGGCCCGCGCTCTCAAACATAAATCGAAAATAATTTCAAAAGCCAGCGTTTCGCTTGGGGCGTCCTCACAAACAAATCCGCCAGCCTCCTTCGATTTTGTCATTTATCTACGAAAGATTCTGCTGGCCTCCTTCAGTAGTGGCACAAGGGACAGGTTCACCAACGAAAAGAGAACCCTGGGCCAAAGCCTTTTCCAGGAAAACTAAATCAACCCACGAAACCGGCAAGGGATATGGAAACATGCGAACCGTGGAAATTGTTCCAGTCGTAAAAATCCGGGCGACGAGCAATTATAATGTTGAAAGTAGCGACGGTGACGCACAGTGCCAGGGGCTGTGCTGTTCTGTGTTGTGATGAACTGAGACGCGCCATGCCGCGTTGCAGCGTTGTGCTCTATTGAATTGTGGATCAGGTCGACCGTGGTGGCGTCAGAATCCCGATCAAGTTGCTCTGGATCTTGCTGCGTGAGCGCAAAATTCAGATCTGGCCGCAATCGCAACGCGCGGGGCGTTCGACCGGCTCCAGCTGGGCCGCGAGCCTCGCTGAGATCGCAGATGCTTGTTCCCTCGAGGGTGCGTGGTCGTAGTCGACTAGGGGTCTGAGGTGGCCCAGCGCTGGTTCCAGCCAGCATGAAGAGGAGTCAGGGCTTGAGGTTTGGGCTTCGGGACGGTTGATGGCTTTTTTCAGCCTCCAAGGGCCGTCTTCGGGCCCTGGGACCGTCGAGAACGGATCCACAGTGAAAAACTGCACTGGATGGACCCTCGGGAGGGGTCCCGGGATCGAGCTTTGAGCGGATGTGGTACGATTTTCCTGGGGCCCATCCAGCTCAGCCCCCCTGGCCGCCTCTACCCTTTGTCTCAGGAGGAAAAAACACAGACACAATCAATCGTCGATTCCCAAGAGAATATAGGAACATATGGGAAGTGGGGGGGGAACAAAAACCTTGAAAATATGGGAAAACATGGCGGATCCGATTACTTGTGTCTATTTATTTGTGTGTCCCAGGGCCCCTTCACCTTTGTTATGCCGTAGCCGTTTTGGCTCAAGCCGCTCAGACCCGAGGCGGACGCCTCTCTTTTTCCCGAGCAGAAGACCACTGCCGCTCGGCTCGCCGCCGAACTCGGGACCCTCGGGCTCACTCGCCCTGCAGCAAGCGAGCATCGTCGGGGGTGGACAGACCTCCCACCCTGACACGTCGATTAGCGAATTGGCCGTTTTCGGTTCGCGAGAGGGCGCCGCGGCCGTCATTGTTGCGGGTCCAGGTCCGTCGGTTTCGGTCTCAGGCCGCTTTCCCTAAAGGGTGGTTTGCTACAGGGAGGTCTGTCCACCGCCGACATCGCAGAGGTCAACAATGTCGCCCGACAGCGTGCCCGGTGCCGGCGGTGCGGCCGAGAGGGCCGACCTCTTCGAGTCGGGCTGGGTCCGCTGCACCACGGGGTCCACGGACGGCGGAGACCTCACCTGTGACGGCCTGGAGTCCGTCGGGGAGTCAAGCTTGTTCGACAGGCGGGTCAGCGACATGTCGGCAGCGCGCCCGAGGGGTAATTCAGGAGGGAAAAAACACAGACACAATTGAATCGCCGATTCCCCCGAAAATATGGCAAAATATGGGAAGTGGGGGGGAAGACAAAAACCCAGAAAATATGAGAAAATGTTGGACATCCTGCTAGTTGCGTCTATTTATTTGTGTGTCTCAGGGCCCCTTTCTAGTAATTCAGAGGGCTCAAAAGGGTTTCCCGCCTGCTGCATCGTGGCCGCTGTTCGACCGGATTCGGGCCGGTTTGCGCCCCCGTTCGGCTTCAATTGGCCGGTTCGGTATGACACCGGTTTGGTTTTGGCCGGTTCGGCGTCGGCCCGGTTACGATTTGATTCGGCTCCAGTTTTTCGCACGGTTCACTTCGATTGGTTCAGTTTGCAGAGGGTTACGGTCAGGCATCATTGCCGCGGTCTGGTTTTGGAGAGTGAGGAGGGCGGATGGGGCCGCAGCCCGCGCCCCGGGGGCGCCAACGCGGCGCAGGTGCCCCCGCCTCCCGCCGAAGGACACGAGGAGGAGGAGGAGGAGGAAGAAGTACAGTGTAAACCTAAGAGTCTTCAACGATGTTGGAGTAAACTTTCCCTCCAAGTTCTCTTCTTCATAGGCCCCTGCAACGGTTCATTTCCATTGATGGAACTGCCTCGCTGGAAGACGCCCGTTTGAAGACCCTGAAGCATGCCGAAACATTGTTCTCGGGATTTCAACGCCACGGATCAACTTGATTGTTGCGTCTTGACGATCCTGAATCGTGCCAGACCGGCATTCCTAGGACTTCAACACAGAATCAACGTAATTGCTGCACCCGCATAATCCTGAGTCCTTCCAAAACACAATCTCTGGTTCGTTGATGATGGGAATCCGTGAAATTCTTGCAAATGATGAACATGAGCGTGCGCGGCGCTAAGAGGAGAGCCACAGTTTGACAAGGAACCGCTCTCGATCCGTGAAACGCTTGCACATGTTTTTACACGAATGTGCGCCGCGCTAGGACGAGAGCCACATTTTGAAAAGGACCCGCCCTCAATCCGTGCAGTTCTTGCAAAAGTCTAAAACGAATGTGCGCCGCGCTGAGGCGAGAGCCACATTTTGAAAACGACCCGCCCTCAACCAGTGAAACTCTTGCACATGTTTGAAACGAATGTGCGCCGCGCTAAGGCTGAGCGCACAGTTTGAAAACGAGCCGCCCTCAATGCGTGAAGTTCTTGCAAATGTTTGAAACGAATGTGCGCCGCGCTAAGGCAAGAACGACATATTGAAAACGACCCGCCCTCCATGTGTGGAACTGCTGCCAATGTTTAAGCTTCAGAGTCATCATTGGCGAGGAAGTCTCAGGCGAAGCGCCCAGCCCGCCCTAAAAACTTGCCTTGGGGCGCGACACGGAGAAATTAGTTATAAGGAAAAGGAATGGAGGAGGAGGAGGAGGAGGAGAAGGAGAGGACCACCAATGTAACCCCAAGAGTCATCAACGATGTTGGAGTAAACCCTCTTCCAAGCTTTCTTTTTATCATCGGCCCCTACAACGGTTCATTTCCATTGATGGAACTGCCTCGTTGGAAGACGCTCGTTTGAAGACCCTGAAGCATGCCAAAACATTGTTCTCGGGATCCCAACGCCACTGATCAAGTTGACTGTTGCGTCTTAGCGGTCCTGAATCATGCCAGAATTCCATTCCTACGATTGCAACACAGAGAATCAATTTTAACTGTTGCGCCCGCATAATCCTGAGTCCTTCCAAAGCATCATGTCTGGTACGCTGATGATGGACATCCTTGAAACTTTTGAGATTTGTGTAAAAGGAATGCTCACGGTGCTAAGGCGAGAGCAACAGTTCGAAAAGGAACCGCTCTCAATCCGTGAAACTCGTGCTATTTTTTAATGAATGCGCGCGGCGCTAAAACGAGAGCCACATTTTGTAAACGACCCGCCCTCGATCCGTGCAGTTCTTGCACGTGTTTAAAAGGACTGTGCGCCGCGCTGAGGTGAGAGCCAAATTTTGACAACGACCCACCCTCGATCCGTGAAGTTTTAAAAAGGACTGTGCGCCGCGCTGAGGCGAGAGCCACATTTTGAAAACGACCCGCCCTCAATCCGTGAAACTCTTGCACATGTTTGAAACGAATGTGCGCCGCGCTAAGGCGAGAGCTACATGTTGAAAACTACCCGCCTTCAATTCGTGAAGGTCTTGCAAATGTTTAAAATGAATGTGCGCCGCGCTAAGGCGAGAGCCATATTTTGAAAACGACCCGCCCTACATGTGTGAAACTGTTGCCAATTGTTTGGCTTCAGAATCATAACTGGTGAGGAGGTCTCAGGCGAAACGCCCGAGGAGGAGGGGGGGGAGGAGGAGGAGGTCCGGGGGTGTCAGAGGCCATGGGGCGAGTCCAGATGGGTCCGGGAGAGTTCGGGTGAGTCCGGGGGAGGCGGAGGTGTCTGGGATGCCCTGGGTGCCTGGGGGGTCCGTGGGGGAACCTGGGGGAGTTCCGGGGGGGTCCCGGGGGGGTCCGGGGGGAGCCCACTGCAGGGAGTTTGGGAGGGTCTGAAAGGTCGCAGGGGAGGTCGGGGGGTGTCCAGAAGGGTCCGGAGAGTAATTGGAGAAGGGGGAGGAGAAGGAGGAGGAGGAGGAAAAGAAGGAGGAGGAGGAGAAGCAGAAGGAGGAGGAGGAGGAGGCGGACCACTGGAAACCCAAGACTCACCAACGATGTCGGGATAAACCCTCCCTCCAAGCTCTCTCTTCACAGGCCCCTACAAGGGTCATTTCCGCCGAGGGAGCTCTCTCGTTGGGAGACGCCCGTTTGAAGACCCTGAAGCGTGCCCAAAACACCATTCTCGGGACTTCAACGCCACGAATCAACATGACCTTTGCGTCTGGACGATCTTGAATCTTGCCAGAACGCAATTCCTGGGAGCGCCCTCGCACTCTTGAGTCCTTCCAAAACACCATTTCTGATTCGTTGGCCATGGGAACCGTGAAGCTCTTTCAAATGTTCAAACCGACTGTGCGCGGCGCGCAGGCGACAGCCACTTTATGAAAACGAACCGACCTCAATCCGTGAAACTTATGAAATGTTCAAACCGAATGTGCGCGGCGCTGAGGCGAGAGCAACAGTTTGAAAACGGCCCGCCCTCAGTCCGTGATGCTCTTGCAGAGTTTCAAACCAAATGTGCGCGGCGCTGAGGCGAGAGCGCACATTTTGAAGACGAACCGCCCTCAATCCGTAAAGCTCGTGTAATGTATAAAGAGGAATGTGCGCGGCGATACGGCAAGAGCAAGATTTTGAACATGACCCGCCCTCAACCCTTTAAATTGTTGCTAGCTTCTAAGCTTCAGGATCATGTATGGTGAGGAAGTCTCAGGCGAAACGCCTGGCTCGCCCTTTCGATCGGCCTCGTGGTCCGACAATGAAAAGTTATGTATAAATTATCCCAGTGCGACCCTACCTAGGAGTTGGAACCCCTAGGAAAGCAGCATTAGTAGTAACAGTAACGCTAAGCTAAAGCAAAGCTAAAGCTAAGCTAAAGCTAAGCTAAAGCTAAGCCACAGCTAAGCTAAAGCTAAGCTAAAGCTGAGCTAATGCTAAGCTAAAGCTAAGCTACAGCTAAGCTAACGCTAAAGTTAAGATAAAGCTAAGCTAAAGCTAAGCTACAGCTAAGCTAAAGCTAAGCTAAACGCTAAACGCTAAGCGAAAAGCTAAGCGAAACGCTAAGTTAAAGCTAAGCTACAGCTAAGCTAAAGCTAAGCTAAAGCTAAGTTAAAGCTAAAGCTAAAGCTCCCAGGGGACTGGGGGGAACCGCTCCCAGGGGACCGGGGGAACCGCCCGGGGCGTGTAGCACTGCCCGGCCCCTTTAAGCTAAGAGAGTAAGAACCCTTCTAGGCAGAGCCTAGGTAGGGAAAAAAGGGAACGGAGGAAAGGTCCACAGAGGTCTGGGGGGTCGGGGGGTCGGGGGGTCCGGGGGGGTCCGGAGGGAGTCGGGAAAATTCGGGGGGGTCCTGGGGCGGCGAGGTGGTCCGGGGTTGCCCAGGGGGCCCGGGAGGGCATGGGGGGCCGTGCAGGGGGGTCGGGGGGCTGGGGGGGGTCCAGGTCCGGAGGAGCTCGGGAGGGTAGGGGGAGAAAGAGGAGGCAGACGAGGAGCAGGAGGAGGAGGAGGAGGAGGAGGAAGAGGACGAGGAGGACGAGGAGGAAGTGCTGGGCGGGGCCAGGGGACGGGGTTGTCAGTTCGGCTGGGGTCGGTTATGCGAAAGCTCGGTTCGGTCCCGTTCGGTGTTTGATGTTCCCAGTCTTTGTCAGGTCCGGTCCGTTCTGCTCTTGGTTCTCGATTCTCGGTTCGGTTGGCGGCCCTCATGTTTTTGATGAGCTCTGTGTCCATTCTCGGAAGCCACAGACGGCTCCGCAGAAGGCCCGAGGGTTTTGAGAAGCCCCGCCGCCTCCTGAGAAGGCCTGCCCCCTCTCGTTTCCCTCCTCGTCGGGGGCTGCTACAGGTGCACCTGGCCCAGGGTTCCCCCAGCTTTCCGCTCAATTCAGGAGCCCTCGAGTCTTGTTGTTGTCGCATTGCTTCACCAATAGCGGCGCCCCGGCGCCACCCTGCAGTGCCGCCGCGGCACCGCTTGTCCGCTTGTCTGGGAGCCCTCTGGGCCTCGGGAGGGGTGCTCTCCGGAGACCGTGGGAGCCTTGGAAATCGTGGGGGCACCTTGTGCCTTGTGCTGGGGGGCACTTCTGGCAGCACCCGGCCTCGGCGCGCCGCCGAGCATCGGCTCCACAGATCTCTCGGGGAGCAGCAGCGCCTCCGCGTCAGGCAGCGCTGCCGCGCGCACGGGCGGGGGCGGCGGCCAGAGGCGCATCGTGGCCTCCACGCCCGCGGGGAGGCAGGCCATTTCTGGTGGTCGGCCCGACGCCGCGGGCTCGTTCCGCGTGAGCGGCTACACGGCCACTGCAGAGGCCTTCGAGGTGGTGGACCTCAGGGGAGGGAAAGGTACCCATGCCGCTGCTCGTCCTGGGGAGCTCTCGTCGCCACAGCTGGATTCTCCTCGGAATTCTGGTCAGAACGCGGCCCGGGAGAGGTCCAGGGAGGAGCAGCGGTTTCGGTGTTTTTTGGTTTCCCCAGGACCCGTGGGTGGGGCTGGAGCAGTACAATATTGATCGGCTGATGGGGGCATGAGCTGGGTCCGAAGAAGAAGAACCAATTGCATAAGCATACCTCTTCGGAGGTCCGCGCGGGATCGGCGCTGAGCCACCCAGGCGGCGCCTCCGGCGCCGCCTTTGGCGCGCTCCGTGCGCCAGGGAGGGGGGTCAGCGCTGATCCAAGAAATGCGCAGAGTTCCGACAGCTCCTGTTTATGCAGGTGTTTGATGTTCTGCAGGTGGCTCATCGGGTTTGCCTTGCGAGACGCCGCGGAGATACGCCTTGGCATGCGTCGTTCCTTCGTGCCAGGGGGGCAGTCTTGCGGAGAGGACAGAGCGCACAATATACGCTACTGAACTCGTTTGATCACAACGACGGGCCGTGCCTATGCCGTTTCAATGCAGCGCGATTGGACTAAGTCGGGCCTGCGCGCCCTGCGAAGGGCCCGCCATACAGAGGCGGAGTCAATTTGTCCCGCGCGCCCTGGGAAGCGTCTGGCCGCATCGTCGCCTCGTCTTCTTTGCCCTCTGTTGGGCGGGGCTGGGACGAGCGTAAATCCGTTCCAGAGTGTTTCAGAACGCTCTCAGAGCGTTCTGGAACGCGTTGAAAAGGCCGCGGCGCCCGAGCAATCCTTCAGATCCGCCAGATCTCCGAGATTCTTGATTTATCCTCACCCGATGTTATCCTCGTCCTGGTTTCGTCTTACAGTCGGCCCGGATTAGTAGGTCGACGCTGCCAAATCAAGGGTACCTTCGTGTCCTGTGTCTTACGATCCATGCCTCCTGCATTTCTGTGGCAACGTGGCCCTCGGAAGGGTCTTGTGTCCTCCCGCGTGTCCTCTCCAATCAAGTTCGACTGTACTCTGCCCTGTGGGCTCCTCCACCTCGTCCTCCCGCAGGCTGTCCGCATCAGCTTCCCCCGGCGCCGGGTCCCGCTGTCGGCAGGTTGCCGATACTTTTTCTTGCAAGCCGCGCTTGTCGCCAATCTGTCGACATCGACTGCTGGCCACTGAGCCAACGTGCAGGCGACAGGCGACAGACAATTCTTCAGTCTCTGCTTCCCGCTCTCCCTCTCTCTCTCTCTCTCTCGTTCCGTTTCTCGCCTGAGATTCTGATCGTGGGTCCCGTCATCTCGACTGACTCCGACCTCCTTGTCCGCTCCAAATCGCTGCCCTCCTACTGCCTTCGAGTATCAATGGCACGTGCGTCGTCTTTCAGACTGTGAGTTACTCGTGTGGCCCTCGTGCCACAAACATTCGCATTTCCTCAACAGCGACGCTGATGGAGTTGTCCGACTGCCGTGACATTGGTACTGTCTTTGTTCTCCAACTCCTGTCCCGGCGCGAGCTTCGGAGCGATTCTCCCGCCAGCTCTGAGAGGCGTTCCGCGAATGCTTTGGTAGGATTGGCTAGCGGTCGCCTGGACAGTGGTTAGAAAAAGCTCTCCCCCTGGTTCTGGGGGAAGCCCTCCCTGGGAGTTCGGAGCCCAGAGCCATTATAGGGACCCCCCCTCCTGGTTCGAACACGGGTGCGGGGGCACAAGCGCCCATTGAACGCGCTCTTGTAATTCTACTTACATAAATGTATATGTATGCATATATATATATATATATATATATATATATATATATATATATATATATAGGTGTGTGTACGTACGTACGTACGTACGTATGTATGTATGGTTCAGTGTTCCACACGTTTTTGAATCCCTAGTTGTCGCTTCCCTGCCGTCCATCCATGGCTGTTTGCTCAAAGTCTTTTTCCAGGGCATGAAGGAAGCCCTGCGGCCCCTCGTCGAAGCCAGCGCCTCGGGGATCCGCGAGATTGCCCGCGCGGGCTTCCACGCGGGGGCGTCCTGGGCGCTGCTGCCCAGCTGCCCGGCGGCGCCGCCCTGCCCGCCATACCCGCCTTGCCCCGCGTGCTTCTGCACGTGTGGGGAGGGAGGCGGAGGCGGCGGCGCTCCTGCGGGCGGCGGCGGCGGAGGCGGCAGCCCCCCCTGGCTGGCGGCCGCAGGCGGGCCGGTGTGCGACGCGCTCGTCGGGGCGCTGCGCGAGGCGGTGGAGGGCTGTGTCGGCTGGGGAGCAGCGATAGCACTGGTGCTACTTGCGCTGCTTGCAGGGTTCGGTCTCGGACGCCTCAGCCTCGCCGCATCGGCCCGCCTCGAGCCTCGCGATGGCACTGGTGCCCAGGGGATCGTCGTGGCGGCTTCTCCCGGGGTGCAGAGCAGTGGTGCGCTACGCCGGGGACGACCTCTGGCACGAGCGGATCCTGCTGTACCCAGCAGCCAGTGAGGCCTCGGGCGCGGGGCTCCCAGGAGTCTGCTGGGTGGTATACACTCCCGACCACGATATGTACATCGAGGAGCTCGAGGGAGGCTCGCCCGACGACGGTCCCGTCGAGTGGCTGGAGATGCCGCGCGACTTGCGGCTGCCCAGTGGGCTTGCGCGGGCGTATCGCTTCGAGGAGGTCCCGACGGAGGAGGTGATGAAGGGCCTCTACCGCCGGGCCTACTCGGCCGCCCAGGCCGACGCGGAGGCGCGCGGGGTACTCCTGGAGACGCCGGTGGCGGTGCGTACGGCCGCAGGCAGGGATGCGGCAGTGCAGGAGGCGCTCGGGGCCAACTTCTTCGGCGGCCGACGGATGACAGGCAAGAGGCCGCTTTTGGGACTGGACCTCGGAGGAGACCACGGAGGCCACTCTGGACCGGCGGCCGCGGCCGCGGAGGGCTTCGGAGACAGCGGCGCCCCAGGGCCTGCGGTTGCGGGCACTAGCACGCCACGCTCGAGCGGCCGCGTCTGGCGAGCAGCCGAGACCGACGAGCGCTGCCGCATCGCGCTGGGCGACGAGTTGGGGCCTCCTGCTCACTCGCTCTGTGGCAAGGGGTTGTACTTGGCGGCTCCCGGGCGGGCCGTGGCGGTGCACCTGACAGGGCTCGACCAGGACTCCTTCGTGATGAGCCTGCGCGGAGGCGAAGGCCACCCTTTGAGTGCTGGCGCCGAGAACGGCGGAGGAGGAGATGCTCGAACCTTGACGGTGAAGAATGGGCCGCGGGGCCGAGGCCGAGAGTGGCGCGAGGTCGTGGACGCCTGTGAGGAGGAGCCCTTCGGCGACTTCCCAGTGGCGGGGCCTCGTTCTGCTTGGTGGTGCTTGGACTTCCTGCGGCATCGGCACACCCCCACGGATCATCACCTGATGTTCAAGACGACGGCGCGGCTCCAGTCGGAGCAGTGGGGGGTGCAGGAGCACGAGCAGCTCATGAAGTACATCGAGCTGGCTGGCACCTACGACCAGCTGGACCTCAGCAACTGCGCCTTCGCCGAGGCTACCTTTCGGCGGGCGCAGACGATCGAGTGGAGCTACCACGATCGGTTGCGGGAGGCCGACTCGGCCAGCTCCAAGGACAAGATGAGTCCTGAGGAGTTCTCGGCCTTCAGCGGCTTCAGCAAGGCTGGGGACCTGCTGATGGTGGCCCCCACGCTCCTCGAGTTTGTGAAGGGCCAGGTCGAGATGGACGCAGCCATCATGAAGAACATCAGAAAGGCTAGAGAAGAACGAGAGCTCCGCCGCAAGGGTCCCAAGGGGGATGGCGGCGGAGGGAAGTCATGACGGCGACGCGGGAAGGAGGCCTGAGAGCGGCCGCCTCCTTCTCGAGCTCCAAGGCCGCCGAGCCCCAGGGCTCTCCTGCATGCGTACCTGGGCGAATTCAATTCGACGGAGTTCCAGACCGTCGAGATCTTTTTCCTGCCCCGCTGCTTCGGGACGGCCTGGCCCCCGCGGAGGGCGCGGTGAACCGCTCGGTTCGGCGGCGGCTGCTTCGGCGCGACGCTCATGTGGCTGAAGCCAACCGCGCCCTTGGGGCCCTCAATGATCTGGCTGGTCGGCTCGGGGCGCCTGGTGCTCCTGGCCTGGCGGAGCGGCTGCCCCATCGCCTGGTACATGAGCGTGTTCGTCATGCTGCTGCTGCGCTGGGCCCCCCGCCACCTGGCCTCACTCCCGCAGGGGCCCTTCGTGAGCTCCGCGGCGCTGGCGTGTACGAGGACATCGACTCGCCAGTCGTCAGCTTCGACGACTCCCTCGTCTCGCTGCCTGAGGCCGGCAACGTTCCTGCGCCGCTCGGGGAGCCGGTTGCAGGCGCGGGCGATATTGATGTCGAAGCAGCAATACACGAGCAGCTCCTTCCACGCAAGGATGCGGAGTCCAACCTCTCCGAGGCTCCGCGGCAGCCGTACATGGATGCTATCTTACGAGCTCAGCCACGCGCTTATGCTGGGCTGGTGCGGCGTTTGCATACGGCGGGAATGGTGACCTTCTCAGCCGCGCCGCGAGAGAGGTGCGGCCTCTTCTTTGTGCGTAAGAAGTCTGGCAAGCAGCGCATGGCGATAGACTGCCGGCGTGCCAACTGCTGGTTCAGGAGGCCTTCGACAGTCGCGCTGGCGACAGGCTCAGCACTGGGAGAGCTGGCCGTGCCGGAGGGCGAGCAGCTCTACGTCGGTCACGTGGACATCTGCGACGCCTTCTACCACTTCGGGCTGCCTGAGGCTTTCCGTGATTATTTCGCGCTGCCGGCGGTGAAGGCAGGTGATGTGGGGCTGACTGTCCTGGGCGGAAGGCCCCTCGCGCCTGGCAGCCGTGCGTGGCCAGTCCTGGCGGTGTTGCCCATGGGCTGGTCGCATGCGCTGTACTGGTGCCAGACCATTCACCGCGGGATCGTGAGCTCCATCCCCGCGCTGCTCGACGTTCCGTTCATTTCGGACAAGAGTGTAGTGCCGCCGGTGCAGCCGCTGGCGATGACTATATACGTGGATAATTTTCTCGCCTTGGGCACGGATCCCGAGGCCGTTTCGCGCGCAGTGAAGCTCGTCAACGCCGCCTTGACGTCCAGGGGGTTACCCACCCATGAAGTATGTATGTGTGATCATGATGCCGACATCCTGGGGTGGGAGATTCGAGGGCGAGAGAGAGATTCGACCAAAGAGATCAAGGCTGTGGAGACTTCGCCTGGCGCTCGATTGCTTGACAAGCCAGGCCGTCGTGAG